ACCCGCTCCGCCTCTGAGCCACAGTTGGTGTCAGCCTTCCAGTCATACCCAATTTATGCAGTTCCAATACTGTTTATGGACCCCAGTATGCAGAAATATTAAAATACACTAGGCCAAAATAAGTACTGGGCTTATTATTATTATTATTATTATTATTATTATTATTATCATTAAAGGGGGGCATGTCAGTAAAAGGGAGACTGCTAGGTACCCATTTTTCTTCTGGATTTGTTTTTGTTCGTGATACTTTTTTTCATTATTGATTTTATTAAAGCAAAATGAAAACCGCACCAGTGGTGATCAAACCCTCCCCCCACCAAAACCACAAAGGCCTTCAAATGGTTACGTTGACATTGTCTCACTGAGGTCATACAGCTTGTCATGAAACACAAAAAGAATGTTCTACTAAAATAAAATATATAAAGACAACACTGTATGCAGCATATTCAGATCAAAGTAGATTAAAACCAAAGAAATATCACTGAATGGGGAGCTTGCTAGCAAATAACAGCATGTTTTCAGCAGCAGCATCACGAGCTTTTCTGCCAGTTAAATATGTTACTTGTTTTCTGTTTCTGTTCTGGATTATCAGATTTAATTTTAGCCAAGATACCCAAGTTCACTATTTTGTGAGTATTTGTCATCATTTTAACATGTTGTGACCGCTTCCACTTTGTGTTTAGCTGACCAGACTGCTGAAGGAGCTGAAGGAAGCTAAAGAAGCTCAGAGCCCAGAGGTGAAACTGGTGTGCAACCTGGAGAGGAAGATCCTCAACATGGAGCTCAGACACCAACACAGAGAGAAAGAGCTGCAGCAGGTACGCATGAGGCGTCCATTTACTGTTTCTGTGAAGCTTGAGATTCTGTTTGAATGACCCCAGGCCACCTTTCACAATACATTTGTATTTATTAACGGGACTCAGCAGGGAGACATGTCGCTCCACCATAAACATCTCTAAATGCACAGTAGGGCGCAGATTCTTGAGCTATTTTTATAATGCTTCAAATCCAAATATACACAAATTAACAAGCCTATACATATATATTTAGCCTGTATGATTACTATTATTGTCGTATGACCTGGCTCTGGTTTGTCTGCTTTGTAAGAGTCCGATTAGGGCATGAAATTAGGTGGTATCGGACCAGTGCCCAGACGTGGGTACTTGGCGAGATCTAATTTCCAACCAGCTGCTGCACCCCAGACCGCCCAAAAAACCCAAATTGGTATTTACTACCACCTACTCAGAGGAGCTGAAATTTAGGTCCAGGAACCCTTCTCTAAAGCAAGCATGATTCATAAAATGTCATAAAATGTTTTAATCTAATAAATGATTTGGAAGATTAGTTCAGTGAATCAAAGCTATACTCCAGAGAGAGGCCAGTGCATGCCAGTAGAGAACTGTGACAGTGGCTGCACCTTCTTCCTTCCATCTGAACAACCAACAGAGGCCCTGGTTGACCTCAGTAACTCCCCGTCCCTGCAGGTGATCGGTGGGTCGTGGCAGACGCCAGATGTCGGTGAGCAGTCAGAGGTGGAGCGCTGGAAGCGTCTGGCTCAGGACAAGAGCAGAGAGCTGGAGGCGTTCCGTCTGGAGCTGGACTCCATCCTGGACATTCTGAGACATCTCCAAAGACAGGGAGTGGTCTTCCCCATCACAACCACCCCCATCCAGAGGAGTTAGCGCACACACAAGGTTGGACTGATGCAGTGAAAGCTGATAATTGGGTGTTGAAGCCAGAGATAAACATAAGCAATAATCAGTATGCCAGCAGTAGTTAGCTCAAGTGAAGGGCTTTTTATTGACAGCAGTATATTAGTCAATAACACACAGGTCCACTCTATGTCAAACATGTACAAACAGAAATAAAGCTACAATATATTTGAGGAGTTTTTGTTGAGATTCAGAGACATTTTAGCATACACATACTGTACTTGTTTCTTATATATTTTATTTTTATTTTTTATTTAAATGATTAACTTATTTTAGGTGTAATGAAAATAAATGTTTTTCAAATGTAATAAATTGTGTTCAGTTTGTCCTTTCACATACTGGAACTCCAGTCTAATCCACTTCACCCTAATCTTAATGCACAGACACATTATATCAATACTGTACTGAAGGGGGATTTAAGATGAGGATTTTTGGCTTTCTTTTGGGTGCTAATGAAGGGACATACTGAGGTCTGTAGAAACATAAGCTGCTGCACCTGATTAATTGTTGCCAACTGCAGCGGAGGAAACACAGAAAAACTCTATTTTCTCAGAATTCCAAAAGTGTATTCTCCATTGCAGTATTCCAAGTTCAGCAGCAGAGAACGCTTTCTAATGCCAACCACTGCTTACCACACCTGTGCAGAATGTGTCTGAAATAGTCCAATGTTACAGCCCAGCTGTGGTTAGCCCCCTTCAGTTTTTCTGTAATGATGGGCAGCGTGAGGATTTGAGCGACTTTGACAAGGGCCACATTGTGATGGCTAGATGACTGGGTCAGAGCATCTCCAAACCTGCAGCTCTTGTGGGGTGTTCCCGGTCTGCA